CCTATATCGACCCTGTTCTCGTTCATTCCCCCTCTACTTACGCTGACTTTCTGGCCTGTCTGGCCCGGCGTGGGACGTTAAGCTTTCAACCTGCGCTGGGTAGGAGGGGCCTTCTTGGAGTGTTCTGCGCTGCCAAGAAGTCCGATCAACTACGTCTCATTTTCGACACTAGAGTTGCCAATTGTTATTTCAACGCCCCCCCCTCTACTCGACTCCCCTCGGCATCCGCCTTCTCCGCCATCGAATCGAGGTGCGGCCCTTGTCTTGCCGCCTAAGGTGATGTTCAGTGTGCCTTTTATCACATGCGTGTTCCAGCCGACATGATAGAATGGTTCTCTTTGCCACCCATCGATTCGGGTTTACTCATGTCCTTTGGTTCGGAGGGTGTTCCTCAGATGGCGGGACAGGCCCTCCTTCCGTGCATAACTGCGATGCCTATGGGCTTTTCTTGGGCCCTTCACTTTTGTCAGGCTGCGATGCGAAGCGCCATCCAAGAGGCGGGCTTCAGCCCGAGTCGCGTCATATCTGACGGTGAGCCCGGCGTCGTGTTTAGGGCAGCCGATGACACGGCTGCTGCGGGCGATGTTGATAATTTTCTCGTGCTAGGCCAGTCTGAGAAAAATGTGAAGGCTGCTTTTGACCAGATTAGCGTCAGGCTCAGATCTGTTGGTCTCCTCGTTCATGAAGTTTGTGAGCCGTCTAGGGAGTCGACCTTTCTCGGACTCTCCCTCGTCGCCGGCCGCTGGTTGTCTGTAAAGCCTCGGAATCTCTGGCGCCTGCGCTTCGCTATTGGGCGCCTTTTGGCCAGGGGCTCTGCCAGCGGTGTTTTGCACAGAGTGATTGTTGGCCACATCACGTGGTCGGCTATGGTCCGTCGTCAAGCCTTGGCCATCCTGAATGCGCGTTACGCGTTCATTGAGGCGGCAAAGGATGTGGTGACCCCCCTCTGGCCTCAGGTGGCGTTAGAGCTTCGTAGGATTGTTGCTATTCTCCCTCTCCTCACGACGGATGTGCGTGCTCGGTGGCATCCTCAGATCTGTGCCTCGGACGCTTCGGAGTTCGGTCTTGGAGTTTGCCGTCGTTCACTTTCTGAAGACCAGGTTGCAGAGATTGGCCGAGTAAGCGAGAGAGTGAGATACCGTGTGGAGGGCGCGGAGAAGGCTCGCCTCAATGCACTTCGGGAGTCTGGGGACATCGAGGACTCTCGGGACGTCGTCGACGCGGAGGCTGCCGCCCGCCCGCCGGACTACCTGCCCCTTGGGTTCATGGACGTGGACCCCCTGCTCTTAGAGGAGATCCCCGCGGACCTCATGAGGCCCCAGGATTGGAAGGATGTCTTGGCCGTTCGGGTGGGCTACGACGCCGATATCATGCAGTTGGAGGGTGAGGCCCTCGTGTTGGCCTACAAGCACATCCTGCGCGCTGGTGCTGCCGTGGGGCGGCGAGCGGTTGCCCTCGTCGATGACATGTGTCTGGCGTCGGCTTGCTGCAAGGGCCGTGCGAAATCCGTTCACCTTCAGTCTGTCATGTTGAAGCTGGCCTCGTTACGCTTCAGGATGCCGCCTGCACGTTCGCTGGATCCCCAGTGAGAGGAACCCGGCAGATCGCCTTTTCCCGCTGCCATCTTGGATGGTTCTCAGGCTTCCGCGCGGCGCGCCGCCTGCCGCCCGAGGGCGACGCCGCGGGCCGCGCCTGGGAGGGCAAAGGAGCGGGCCAGGGCACAGCGCGAGACGCGCGTTGCCGCCGCCCAGCGCCTGACCGCGGAGCGGGAGCCCTTGGGATCCCTAACGGTTCTCGCGCAGATTGCGATCCGCCCAGTGACGGAGGCCCTCTACAAGAAAACTGCGGCGGCCTTCCTGGAGTTTTGCACCAAGCGAGGCCTGGACTGGCACAGCGTCGAGGAGATGGGTGTGATCCTAGCCCAATACATGGGCGATTGCTTTCACCGCGGCGCGTCGTCCGACCGCGGCACGCAGCTGCTGGCCAGCCTCGCGCACCTCTACCCGAACCTGCGGGGGCAGTGGAAGTCGCAGTGGCCGAGGGCTGCCCGCGCCTCGATCTCGTGGAAGCGGAGAGTGCCTGCGGAGACCCGGCTGCCATTGCCGAAGGCGGTTGCCATGGCCGTGCGCCTGCTGCTGGTGGAGGCGGGTGCGCCCTGGATGGCTGTCTGGGTCGCGCTGTCGTTCGTGGCCTACCTGAGGCCCGGCGAGACGTTCAAGCTGAAGGGCCGCAACCTCATCCCACCCTCGCCTGCGGCGGGGGCACCGCATCGACATTGGGGACTACTGCTTCACGACGTGGGATCGCTGATTCCCGGGAAGACGGGTCTCCACGACGAGAGTGTGTTGATCGACATGGACCCGTGGTTGGTGCCGGCCCTGGAGTACCTCCGATCGACGACGAGCGCCGACGCCTGCCTGTGGTCGTTCACGGTCGGGGCCTTGAGGCCGAAGTACAGCCGCTGCCTCAGCCTCCTGGGCCTCCCCCAGGTCTCGGACCACCTGTACTGCCTCCGCCACGGGGGTGCGTCGGACGACCTGCTCAGTCGCCGAAGGGGCGCTTTCCAGGTGCCGCTTCGAGGCAGGTGGGCACCCGCGAAGAGTTTGAAACGGTACGACAAGGAGACAAAGCTGTTGTCAGAGATCAGCTCGGTGCACGGCGACGTGTTTCGTCTCGGACATCTCATGTTGGAACATTTCTGGGCGGTGGTCGTGGCAGGCGGGACCCTGGAGGCCAGCGTCAGTCACCTCATCCCAGCGACGCGTGTGCTCGCGGTGCGAGCGGCCCGAAGGCTGCGCCCTTCAGGAGATCACAGAAGCCACCAGTGAGACCTTCTTACTCCCTCTGCGCCTCTAAAATTCGAGCCCACCTGCAGTGCCGATTTAAGGAGGAGTTACATAGGGGGAAAGGGTCCCATAATCCGTCTCAGTATCGTTTGTTTCTTGAGTTGTTTGCCGGGTCCGGATCCCTGTCGACGGCCCTTCGGGGCCTGGGCGTCTCTGCCCTTGACCTGGACTTTAAGAACTCGGCTGGTGGGGATCACCTGCACCCGGTTTTCATCAAACTTGTTCGGGGGTGGATCTCTAGTGGATGTGTCTCGGGGGTGTTCTTGGGAACCCCTTGCGCGTCTTGGAGCAGGGCCCTCCGTCATCCACTTCGCTTGCGCGACCGCCCGATGGGCATCCCTGCCGCTCTTCTCTCACAGGCCGAACAAGGACGGCCAGCGGCGGGAAATGCCACCTTTACGTTCAGTTGCCGAATAGTTGATTTATGTCTCAAGTGCGGTGCTCCAGTATATATCGAGAACCCAGCCCTGTCCCAGCTGTGGTCTGCGCCCCGCATGCTACAGCTGTGCCAGAAACCTATGCATCAGTCAGTTGTCTTTCACATGTTTCAATATGGCACCCGATGGATGAAGCCCACTCGTATCTCTGCCTGGCTTTCTCCCTCTCTTCACTCTCTCCAGAAGAAATGCAAATTGTCGCCGCGGCCTGTGCAGTAGGACCCAGAAGCCACACATTGTCTTGACTGGGAAGGCTCCTGGCGGCAAGAACTGGACCGCCGTAGCAGCCTCGTATCCGCCGAGATTGGCTCAGTCCGTTGCGAAGTTAATGATCAATGGGTCAATGCGAATCTCTATTCGTCGTTTGCGGGCCCTCGCCTCTGGACTCGATGTCTAGCTTCTTGGGGGCTTTGGGCGACCACAGTGTTTCGTTTTAAGTTTGACTTTTTGGTTCGGCCTTGGTGGCCCAGTCAGTCCTGCGGGATTCGGGGGATCTCCTATGCTGTCATCTGGCCTGTGATCCCGTGCCTCGCCTTAGGCCTTGCGGCCCGGGATGGATGGCTGATGTCGCCTGCGGTCGGAGTCCTCATAAAATTGTCTGGCATCCATCGTCCGCCTGGTTGTGCTTGTTGATTTTAGATTTGTAAGCACAGGAGGGTCTGGCCGCAAGGATGCCGCATGTGAGAATTCACAGTCCCGTGTGCTATCCGTGGCACGCGGCTCAAGCTCTCCCTCCCGCCCTCCCTGTCGCTTGCATCCTTTGTGCTGCACTGTCTGGGGATCTCCTATGCTGTCATCTGGCCTGTGATCCCGTGCCTCGCCCTAGGCCTTGCGGCCCGGGATGGATGGCTGATGTCGCCTGCGGTCGGAGTCCTCATGAAATTGTCTAGCATCCATCGTCCGCCTGGTTGTGCTGGTAATTCTCGGAACCACTAGCGGCCATTAAATTCCACTAAATGGCAATCTTCGGAACCGCTAGCGGCCCCTAAGTGCTACTAAATGGTAGATCTCGGGCTACTAAGTGCCGCTACAATGCATTTCAACTCTCTGAGCCACTAGCGGCCACTCATTTCCGCTAAGTGGTAATTTTCGGAGCCACAAGCGGCCACTAAGTGCCACCAAATGGTACTTTTCGGAGCCAGTAGCTGCCGCTAGGTGCCACTTATGGTGAGTTTCGGGGCCGCTAAAGGCAACTAAGTGCCACGAAACGACCGCTACAGGCCGCTAGCTGCCACACAGTGCCACTAAAGGGTAATTCTCGGTGGTCGCGATGGTCAGTCCGAAGTTCCCCAGGGAACCCACGGAAGAAACCTGCTCGAGGTTTGTCGCCGTCTTCGGGCCCTTCCAGGCCCCCTGAACCGTCCTACATGACGGCTCGGGAGGAAGAGCTGCTCCCGGGGGAAGTTAGGGGCGGTCGGCAGGCGGCCAGACGGGGAGTCTCGAGCGCGAGGGGGTCATCACGGAAGGGTCTGGCCGCGCTCAAAAGGGCCCGTCTCCCTCAGGATCCGTTCCAAAACGACGATGTGGCTTTCCATCCGCGGCCTCAGAGGTCCCGACCCCATCCTCCTCGGGGGGCAGTTTTCCGCCCCGCGGGATGTCTGAACTGTCGCAGGGCCGGGAAACGTCAAACCGGGCCCCGGAGGCCGACCGCGCGGACGCACGCTGGGCAAAATCAGATCGCGTCGTCAGACCTGCGGGCCCGTTGCCCGGTCCTCAGGCTGAGGCTCAGAGCACCTTCGCCCGGGGCGGCGGTGCCCGCCGCAGCCCCGGCGGTCTCGACATCGGAGGCGCGGGCGGCGCCGCCAGCGGCGCTGCCCGCCGCGGTCCCGCCGCCGGTGGCCTCGCCTGCAGCCACAGCCTGGCGGACGGAGAGCGCGATGGCGTACTCGGGCCGGCCAAGCCGATGGCATGAAGTGTCGAAGGTCCGCGCGGATTTCTTGAATCTGCGCTGGAACCTCTCTGGCGGCGCCTCTGGCGCCGCCCGTGGCGCGGTCCACGTGCTAGGGAGGGCGTCCAGCGCTAAATCACAGAAGTCCAGGCGGGCCTCCGAGATTTTACCCCGTATACGCATTTGGTTTCTTATTTCAGGTGTGACGTAAGGTTTGCCCGTCATCGGGGACGTCTCTCCCACAGCGGCTGCGAAGTTATGTTCCGACGTGCCACCATAGTGGTATTTTTCCAAACTTCCAGCCGTCCTGGGGCAGGCGTTCTCGACACCCTCTCTCCTCCGACGGTGAAACTTGTTTTTGAAGTCGGCACCCCGTGCCTTCGACCACTTCCCGGGGCCAGATTTTCATCACAATCCCGAAGCCAGGGACAGGCCTTTTGGGCGCCGAAGTCAACGGCAGAGAAAGATCGTCGCAAGTTTGTTCGGCACCGAATGGACCGAGCGCACGGTGGCAAGTTTATTCCGTACCGTTCTTCGTCCACCGAACAGCCCCCGCCGTTGCCGCCGCAGAGGAGGCACCCGCCAGGGCGCCCCTTCCCGTGCCCTCGGCCGCGAGTGCTGAGGACCTCCAGCAGGCCGCGCGGCGAGGGCCGCTGGCAGGGCTGCGGGCCCTGGGCGCCGAGGGGGCCAGGCCACGGCCCAGCTCGATTCGATGGATCGGGTTCGATGTCGATTCCGAGCGGGCCCGATGCGGTGTGGTTCCGGTGAGTTCCGACGGTCTGGTGTTGTACCGATGCAGCCCCATCCGACGCACGTTCGGACCTGATCCGACTTGCCGATTCGATGTTGGTTTGGTTGATTCTGCCAGGTGTTGGCAGAACCGTTACGGCCAGAGCCTTCTGTTCTTCGCCGCTTCGAGGTCCACCATGAAGGGAAGGGGTCCTGCAGGAAGCAGCTCTCGATTCTTTCCCAAATAGTGCTTGTACTTGGGGATCCTTATTTTCTTTCATGCAGCAGGGTTTGCTGGCGGTCTGGCGGTTATGTTGCCGCCGTCGCCGCCCGTCCCCGCCTCGTCGCCGCCTGTCTTCTGGGCCCGGGTGGCGGTCTGGCGGTTATGCTGCCGCCGTCGCCGCGCCGCGGCCGCCTCGTTGCCGCCCTCTTAGATTTTTTGTTCTAGAACAGTATTCGGATCTACCACCCTCCCCCCGAATTTAACCGCCCCCTTGTCGTAATGCAATTTGCATACGGTTCAGCCCCATCGTCCATCCTGAAGATAAAGTCCGTACTATCGCAGGCAGGCCGGTAACAGTTCCCCCGTCAATTGTGCAAAAGGGTATCAAATCATCAGTTTCAATTGTCTTTTGCCGAAAATGGGACGAAGTGCGCACGCGCGCATCGTTTTTCGCGCATGCCGAAATCTTTCAAAAACCTCAGGTTTCGTACGGAGTTCAAGATCGAATGCCCCGATAACATACAAACACATCATTTGGCGTCGCAGCACGGGGTTTTAAAAAATGCATGCGCCCGTGTTCTTGCGAAGTGTTTTCGAAACCGCCGATTTTCCACAATTTCAGTCAGTTCTACCTAAGGGGTTTCTCGCGTGCTGTGGGTCACGATCCGTGTTCAAACAAAGCCACTGTCGCGCGTTATCCGCGCGCATCTGTTGAACTCCTTTTACAAAACCTTCATCACCGACGCGAGGACGCCGTCATCGTTGTCGGGGTGAGAAGCATCGGCGCCGTACTGGCCGTACTGTCGTTTTTGTCATCATCGTCGCCAGCGCCGCTAGAATCATCATCGTGTATACATGTGTCGGTGTTGCCATGACACCGCGCCCTCCCAAGAGGCCGATTCGCACTGATGTGCCCGCTGGGAAGTGCCCAGAGGCCGCGCCGGTCGTTCCAAACTAGATGGCCGCTGCGCGCGCGAGGATGCGCAGGTCAGCGCGGCCGCAGAGATGCACCAACCAACGCCAAATGTTCGTCGCAATCGCCGCCATGTGCGTTTTGCAAACCAAGTTGCGGGCGGGTGGGTGGTATGATTGCGCGCTCAGTTGAGTTGACAACTGCGACTTCCAACAGGTGAATTCTCCTCTCCATCGGCGGCAAGCGAGGGGGGAAACGAAAAGGAAAGTCCTTCTCAGAAGGCGGCTGGACTTCTCAGAAGCCCTCGCGCCTTCTGAAAGATTGGTTGTGTTTCCGGGAACGCTTCGAACACTTCAAAAGGCTGGGGAACTGCTGAGCCTTCTGAGAAGGCGCGCCCCTTCTCATGTCCCCCCCCCGGGACTATCGACACCCATATTCGTATTGCATTTTTCATATGGGTCTGCCCCATCGCCCATCTTAAGTATGAGCTCGTATCGTCCCTGCCAGGCCGGTATCGACCAACCCAATCTTTTGCAAAAAAACCTAAGGCGCACACGTTCATCAAAAATCCCAAGTTCCCAAGGTCCCTTGCACAAGAATGTAACGAAGTGGACACGCGCGCGCCGTCGCGCGCGCATGCCGAAATCATTCAAACATCTTCGGCTTTGTAAGGTTTCAAAATCAAGTGTCAAACAACACATATAACATACACATGGTTTCGCAACGCGGATTTCCAAAACCAAACTTGCGCGCGTTAGGTTTTTCAAACCTGATCTCAACATGCTACCAAACGGGCTTCGCGCGAGCATGTCGAAATCCTTCGAATCCATTCTCGCGCGTCTGCAACGGGCGCATTTCGAGCTCCTTCAGAGACCTTTTTATCACCGACGCGAAGATGCCGCCATTGTCGTCGGCGCGATCAGCATCGGCGCCGTCACTGGCTGCCCTGTCGTCGCAGTCAGCATCGTCACCAGCATCGCTACTATCATCATCGCGTCTACCGTTGTCGCCGTTGCCATGAAAACGCGCCCGCCCAAGTCGACGACTCGCACTGAAGTCCCGCTTGGAAGTCCCCATTGAACAAGGCGTCCGCGGCCGCGCCGGCGGCGCCAAACAAGCTGGCCGCTGCGCGCGCAAGCACGCGCGGGTTAGCGCGGCCGCAGAGATGCACCGGCCATCGCCAAGCATGCATCGCAATCGCCACCGCATGGGCTTTGCAAGCCAAGTCGCGGGCGGGTGGGTGGGATGTATGTAAGGGCATGGGATGCGTCGGCTCGTTTGTTAAGTCCAGCTCTCTCTTCTAAAAAGAGAAGAGACTCTATCCCCCGCCCCCCTCCGGGATTATCGGTATTCTCTTCCGCATTGCAATTTTCGTGCGATTCTGCCCCATCGTCAATCTTGAATATGACATCGTACCATCCCAGCCCAGACAGCATCGGCCCCCCCCGCCCCCCCGCCGACTTCCGCAAAAAAATGCGCGCGCATTCGCGCACCCAAACAATCAAAATGCCGCGGGAATCCCTTGCGAGAGAATGCGACTAAGAGCACGCGCGCGCGTCGTCGCGCACACGCCGAAATCCTTAAACATTTTTTAGTTGCGTAAGGGCTTCAAAACCGAGTGCCCACAAACACATAGAAACACTCGGTTTCGCATCGCAGATGTTCAACAACAGCTCGCGCGCGCGCTCTTGCGAATTCTTCTGAAACCTTTTGTTTTCACGCACTTTTCACAACCTGCTACCCTGCGGGCTTCGCGCGCATTTTGAAATCGGCCGAATTCCCTTGCGCGCGTGCTGGGGTGGCACGATCCGCGTCAAATAATGCCATGCGAGCCACTGTGGCGCGTCTGCCGCGCGCGCATTTCGAATTCCTTCCAAAACCTGCATCGCCGACGCGAAGACGCCGCCGTCGTCTTCGGCGCGATCAGCATCGGCGCCGTCACTGGCTGCCCTGTCGTCGCAATCAGCTTCGCCACCAGCACCGTTACTATCATCATCGCGTCTACCGTCGTCGACGTTGCCACGGTGCCGCGCCCGCCCAAGTCGACGACTCGCACAGAAGTGCTCGCTTGGAAGTGCCCGGCGAACAAGGCCTTCGCGGCCGCGCCGGCGGCGCCAAACTAGCTGGCCGCTGCGCGCGCGAACGCGCGCGGGCTAGCGCGGCCGCAGAGATGCACCTGCCAACGCCGAGCACCCATCACAAACTTTTCCGCATGGGGTTTGCAAACGAAGTTGCGGGCGGGCCGGTGGGACGTTAACGCGAGCAGTGGAGTGGCGGCGTCAAGTTGAGCATTGGTGGATTCTCCATTCTGAAAGAAGAATAGACTCTACTCTCGCCCCCGGCCCCCCAACGCCGGAATTTAACGATCCCCCCTGAGGTATTGTGATTTCGTATTTGTTTGGCGCTTTCACCCATCCTGGATATAAACTCATAGCAACCCTGCCACTCGGCATCACTCCCCCCCCGCTGTTCCCTGCAAAGATATTATGCGCGCGCCTTCGTTCATCGCAAATCATAAGCTTTCAAGAATCCCAAACCAAAAATAGGACGAAGTCCACGCGCGCGCGTCGACGCGCGCGCAACCCGAAATCCTTCACAATACTACCGATTCTGGAAGAATGTCAAAATCGAGCGTCTCAAACACATGCAAAACATTTGGTTTCGCCACGCGTTTTTTTTTTTTATATATATATATATATATATATATATATATATATATAAGAGGCTTACGCGCGCGTTCTCGCTTAAGATATCCATCGGTTTTCCAGCACTTGCAGAACATTCTACCAAGCGGGCGTCGCGCGCGCATGTCGACATCGCGCGGACATCCTCGCAAGCTCGCCGTCGCGATAATCCGCTGCAACAAACGGGGCGAAGTGCGCGCGCGCGTCGTCGCGCGCGCGTGCATGCCGAAATCCTTCAAAAACCTACGATTTCGGACGGGTTTTAAAATCGAGTGCCAAACAAACATACAAAATTCATGGTTTCGCACCACGAGTTTTCAACAAAAGCGTGCGCGCGCGCGATCTTGCGTCGTCGTCGTCGTCGCCGTCCTCCTCTCTCGTCGTCGTCATCCTCTGTCATTTCTCGTCGTCGGCGTCGTCGTCCTCTCTGGCGTCATCGTCCTCGATTCCGTCGTCGTTGTCGCCGTGGTCGCACTTCCTCCTGCCTCATCTTCGTCGTCGTCCGTCGTCGGCGTCTCGTCGTCGCCCCTCCTATTTCGTCGCCGTCGTCGTCGTCGTCGTCGTCGTTGTCGCCGTCCTCCCTCCTCCTCCAGCGTTGTCGCCGTCTTCGTCCTCCCTCCTCCCTCGTCGTCGCCGTCGTCTTCGTCGTCGTCGTCGTCGTCGTCGGCGTCGGCGTCAGCGTCGGCGTCGGCGCCGGCGTCGTCGTCGTCTTCGGCGTCGTCATCGTCGTCGGCGTCGGCGTTGGCGTCGGCGTCGTCGTCGTCGTTGTCGGCGTCGTCGTCGTCGTCGAAGTCGTCGGGGTCGTCGGCGTCGTCGTTGTTGTCGCCGGCCTCGCCGTCGTCGTTGTCTCTGTCGTTATCGGCGCTTGGTGTCGTTGCCAACTGCCATTTGGTACCTGCCGTCACGATCTTAGGAGGTCTTCCGACCGAGTTGCGGGTGGGAGGGGTGGGCGTTTGCGCGAGCAGCGGGGTGGGCAGCTTCAAGACAGTCAAAGTGAATTGCGCCAAGTAGATTGAGTCATTTTTATGGCGCGAGTTCCATAGATTGCGCCGAGCTAGACCGGGGGCTATCGGAACACCTTTTCGCGCGGCAATTTACATGCGATTCTGCCCCATCGTCCATCCTACACATTACTTAATTCATTCCACCCCAGCCATGCCGGAGTCGGCCGCCCCCCCCCCCCCCCCCCCCAACAAAAAAAAACGCCCGCACCGCCGCCCCCGCGCGCGTCGTCTGCGCGAGAATGCGCGCTCGCACACGTTCGTCAAAAATAAGCTCCAGTTTTCAAACATCAGTTCTGCAAGTAATGACGGGACGAACTGCACGCGCGCATTGTTGCGCGCGCGCCGAAATCTTGCACAACAGGGGCT